GACACACGGTAGGGTCGTCGGCGAATGGGTCGAGCGTCACCGGTGTCGATGCGATGGGTTACCACGGATGTCTGGCCCAAATTACGGTCGCCGAAGTCAAAGATGTCCTGATAAGAAGCAAGCACACGGGAGAAAGCAGAGACTTGTTCAGAGGTGAGCTTGTCAGATAGCATTGGCTTGAAAGGGTCGGAACAGAAATGTGACGAGAGCGACGTTGATAAAAAATCGGGTGGCGAATCGGTGGTTAGGGCGGAAACTGTGTGGTCGACCAGTGGTGTCAAATGAGCAAGTGATATTCCGCGAGGAATAACTTGCGCTGAGAAGCCAAAATTGAGGACGGGAAATGAAGTTCGGTTGTCTTTAACGGTAACCACCGTGTTGGAGAGTGCAACATTACGTGTCATGGCAACGTCAGAAATTGGGGCTGCAACATAATCACCATCGGGTACTGGAGGATATGGCGAGAGTTGGACTTGGACTGCGGCTTGCGGTGGAAGTCTGAGGAAATCGACAGAGCGTAGATGAGGTGGGCTGGTAGAGACGGTCTCTGAAAAGGTTGGTAGTTCGAGCCGAAGAAGACCTTTGGATCAGTCAATGAGCGCAGCGTGTGAAGTCAGAAAGTCGAGTCCAAGGATGAGGTCATGAGGGCAATTTTCCAGTACAGCGAACAGAACTGAAGTTTGATGCTCAGAAATCGTTAATCGCGCAGTGCACATTCCAAGCACAGCAGGAGTACTCCCATCCGCTGTACGACCGGTAGGTGCAATCGCAGGCGTCAGAACTTTTTGGAGGCGGCGACGGAGGTCTGAGCTCATCACAGATATTTGTGCACCGGTATCAATAAGAGCAGTTACAGGTAAACCATCAATGAGAATTGTAAGAAGGTTGCACCGCTGGTCGGGAGTAATCAGAGGATTTGCAGTGCGAGTCGTGTATGCAGCGTCACCTCCGGGGGCTGCACCGGTTAGTTTCCCGAGCGACGGTCGTAGGGAGACCGAGAACGGCGGGGTTGGGGCGGCGAGCGGGACTGACGACGCACGGGCGATGGCGAGCGGCTGGTCCGACGTTCTGGATTATGCTCTGCACCTGTCTCAGCACGGTAGGACGGGGCATAAGGTGCACGTTCGGAGCGAGGCCCCCAATCATAGAAGCTCGGTCAAGGTGATGAGGTCCAACGGCTGCGGCAATGGCGAGCGATGTGTCCTATCCGATGGCACGTCAAACATATGGGCCGATTATCATAAGTGCGCCATTCAGCTGGGTTTCGTCGTGGCGCGAACGTGTGGTTCGGAGTGGCAGCCGCAACGACTGGAGCCAAGCTCGAAGTAGCAGGGGCATTTTGATGAGGTGGCGAAATGCCCATATTTGCGATCTCTTGGTGAACCACGGCCTGTATCATTGAAACAGCATCGAGGTTGTGTCCTGGTGCGCTGACGCTAGACATAGCGGGTGCCATAGCCTCGAGTTCCCGACGGACTATTCTGGTGACGTTTTCCGGCGCTGGTGGTTGATGTAGTGTGGGCAAATCTTCGCAAGAGGACGTAGCCGCCGTGTTGGGAAGGCGGTCAAATCGGTGAACTATGCGCCTACTTTTTGCCTGTTCAAAGCGACGACATGCTTCGATGACTGACTCCACCGTCGAGCAGTCCTTGCACAGGAGAAAATTGAAGGCATCATCGGCAATTCCTTTCAGGATGTGTCCGACTTTGTCCTCGTCGAGCATGTCCTTGTCGACCTTGCGGCACAAAGCCAACACATGCTGGATGTACGCGATGTACGGCTCTGTGGATGTCTGGGCACGAGTCGCAAGCTCTTTCTTTGCGGCCACTTGACGTCCGATGGGTTTGCCAAATAGATAGCGCAATTTCTGCTTACAGACGTCCCAGCTAGTCAACTCTTCTTGATGTGTCTCGTACCAGAGTTTGGCTGTGCCATGCAAGTAGAAGATGATGTTCGCCAACATAAGCGTCGTATCCCAATGGTTGCTGCTGCTGACGCGCTCATATAGAACCAGCCAGTCATCGACGTCTATGTCACTTGTGCCGTTGAATGGGCCTGGGTCACGAGGTTGCACCACAACGGTCGGCTGCGGGGCTGACGGATCTTGTTGACATTGAGTAGCCTGGTCAGTCATCGTGGTAGCTGCAATGCGCCGTCCGCTGCGAAGATCCAGCTCGTTGGGCTGTGTAGCGAGTGGTAACCCACACCTTCCACCAATGATGTTACAGGGAATAAAGTATACACTGGCGAGCAAACGCGTACTGGCGAATATACTGGCGAGCAAATGCGTACAACGCTGCTGCAGTCCGAGCACGTTCCCGTTCAGCACTTCGTCGTCGTCATCCTCAGGCATCTACTTAGCCCGTGACAGTATGAGGCCTGGTTAATTCACAGTGGATTACTGATGTTGGCACAAAAGTATGCCATGGAGAGCGCATCACTTGGGAGTTCATTTTCTCGAAAGCAGTTTAATAGGAACATTATTCGCGAATCGGGATTGAGAGCTTCGGCGAAAGCTAAGAGAAACGTTCGGATTGCTGCTTTGTGTTTGGTAATACTACTTAAGGAAGGTTGTGTTAGAAGATTTTTTGGACTCGATATGTCTCAGTGCTGGCAGGGCCCTTTCCCGTGCCTGTGGTGGTGTGTATGCTTATTTCCAGAAGAGAGCCACTAAAAACGAGCGGAAAAGAGTCCTTGGCTGGGTGACATCAGTAGGGGCCTGGAAGACGCTACCACACCATGACACTTCAGCCAACCTGTGCAGCTGGTCATCCTCAAGTCGAGTATCCCGCTGGCAGACGAGCTCTTGCGTCTGGCACCTGGGTTTACGAGGGAGTGGCCTTTTTTTGATTCTCAAACAGGTCGCCGAACGGCTGGTGGCCTATGTCCACCATGTATTGTCCTTCCCAGCTGGGAAGCGAGGCTTTTGTGGTAGGGTCTCCGCATGGCTTTCCATCATCGAGGCATTTGTTCTGACTGGCCTGGTCGTCCCAGATCACCCCACGAATCCCTGCCCCTCTGTCAAAACTGCAGAACTCAGCATAAGAAAATGGAAAAATGTAAATTGCAATGTATCCTTGGTAATCCTGTTCATTATGACTGACATTGAGGTGATATGAATAATAAGAAACAGTTAACTATCCAATTGTCTGTTTACAACTCTTACTTTACTTCTTGTGTCATGTTGGTAATGGTTTATATGGCACTCATTATGGGAATAGGCTGGTGAACCACTGATAGGCATGTGGTCAGGTTACCAAAATAGTGTTGCAGGTATCAGAGCACCTACCACAGAATACTGGGAAATTTCAAAGCAGTGCCAGGTAGTTGTGCTGCTGTTGATGATTAGTTGTTGAGATGGAGAAAATGTTTAAGGTCTTCAACTCTTTCGTTACTGTGCGAAAATGGTTGTTTTTCATATGTCTCGGGAAAGCCATTTTTGCCTGTTTGAAAAGCACTCTAGCATACATTGCGACATACCAAGCTTTGCGCAATAAAATGCTCTTTCTGAAAAACATATGTTGTAGAGCAACAAAAATATTTTAGAATGAATCAAAATGTGAAAAGTGTGAAATTTTCGGTGGCCAGCTGGTAAACAGTACAATAAGAAATGCTATATATACAAAAATATTCAAAACAAAGAAGATTCAGAATATACATTTCTTAGAATAATGACCCAGAAACAGTGTAAAAAATATTGATTGTTGTACAAAATGTTTCTCTTCACATAGACGAAAAAAATCAGAACTTCGTTGCTCGTGCCGTGAGGCGAAGCAGTGCATGGTTTTTCGTGAGGTACAAGTGTACTCGTACGCTTTTCTCAGTAAATTTTTGACTTCTTGTGACAAGAGTCTCTAGGTGTTCCAATATAGATGGATACCCGTGATGTGAATGATCCCTCTATATACGAGATGTGCAATGAACTTCGCGATTTCATCTAGCATCATCCCTTTCCATGAGCTACTCCACTCCACGTAGGTTGGGGTTCTATAAGCTGGCGTTTCAAAACTTTTCGCACTGCTTCGTAGTCAGCGCCAAGATATGCTCCAGGGGCCTTCTTGTCATTAGGAGAAACTCTGCAGCCAGTGCCAGAACACCGAGCTCAAGCAAAGCGTGAACCACACACGTAACCAGAGTAACTAAAAGAATGTGCACATAAGTCAGAAGCTATACGCACTTGCGGCGGAGGAGACAACTTGAGGATGTAAACAAAACAAACCCATGAACGACTGCGGATGTCTCAGGCTGACGCAAAACATCGTCGAAATAAAACTTGAAGCTGAGGTGCTGTCAATTTCAAACCCTAAGCTCATACTCACTCATTTCAGGTGGTGTTGCAAGACAATTTCATGCAGCGCTGGTGTGCACCCATGTGCATGACGACAACGTAATAGGAGAAACTGGTGGCACTAAATGCGACCGTGTGCCTGATATAACGATGCAAGCAAAACCAAAGCTGTTGAAAACTATCAGAGAAGGCCACGTCAACACTTTGAACATGCGGCAGACCTTTGTAAATATATATTGTAGAACAAAGTTTTCTTTACTCCTAGGAGCAGCTCTCTATTGAATAGCTGGCATAAATTTCTGGCAATGATTGCTTCTAAATATATTCAAATTGCGAAGCTGACACTTTAATTTGGTATTTGGATTGCAAAGGTTTTTTTTCATTACAGAATTTTGATATTACTGTATCATAACTACAAGGAGCACACACTTCTGGGGTGTTCTTCAGCCTAGTGCACTTTTCCAACAATACACGCACATTTCTTCGAGCGAAAGTCTGTCAAAAATCAAGATGTTGCCAAAGCGGGAAAATTCAAATTGATTCTGAAAGTTGAGTGGCTGGACTAACTACTAGAAAGTGCTGGGTGCACGAGAAACAAATTTAACATGCCAAAATCTACGATTCAAAAATGTTCATCACATGTGATCGATTTGAATAGACGTGATAACGAAATGATTTAATGCGCCACACATACAGTGCATATTTCTTGCAGCTGGCCTGTGGCATGTGGACGCTGAGGGCCTCTACCACAACAGCCGAGGCTTTCGATATACAACAGAGAGATTGCCCACGGCAGAAAGTGTGTATAAATGGGGCATGTAGCTAAGTTTTGTCGCAAAAAGAAGGTAAGCTTTGACTGGCTGCTTGTATACTTCTTGAATGAATAAACAGTAGGAAAGAAAATATTGATAAGCAGAAGAACAACAACAGACAACAGCACTGACTCACAACTAAAATTTTATTTTGAAACAAAGCATATTTTCAAATAATTTGCATTATATTCATGTCTAATCAATCTTTTGGGCTTTTTTTGCTAATTTGTGTTACCTCTTGCTTGTGTAATGATTATATATGTTACCCTTCGCATGCATAATGCTCTTTCCAATGCCATTTATTGTTTCGTATTGAAATGAAATTTTGTGAGTCAGCAATATCGTCTGTCATTCCTCTGCTCATCCACATTTTCTTTCACGCTGTTTACGGGTTCAAAATGGAAGCACGTCAATTTGCCCAGTTACCTATCTGATACTTGTATACTTGTCTCACTACACAGGGGTGGTCACACCCACCCCTGGATATGCATGGGATAATCTGATATTGCGCAACATCTGTCGACTTCTTATACCATCTACTCAGAAGCTAGTTAAACTAGCATTTTCTGGTAGGTTTCGTTTTGATATGACGAGGGCTAAATGAACGATCAACTGTTTGGGTTCTTGAGTATACTTTGTTTTTTTACCCGAAGGTGCCAAGTGCAATTTTGTGGCAGTGCAGTGGTTTGGTGTTAGTCACTACATAGCAGACATCATGGGAGAAGGATGCTAACAGAGGAGCAAAAGCAGAAGTGCAAACATTGCCAATTGGTAACATTTATTGCTGAACATTCTTGTGTGTACTAAAGCTAGTCGTTTGGGTTTTTGGACATCTGCTCAACAACAAAGACGACAAAGAAAAAATCAGGAAAGGATCCATAGGTGGGCTATTTGGTAATTAAAATTGATTTCCTCGCTCTCAGTTTGCCATGAAACTATAGAACAAATGTCTATGAAAATCAAACTGAGTGTGCGAAAATTGCATAAAATGATAAATTGCATATTATTTACTTAAGAATATCTAGGTTTATGAATATTTTGCTTGATGTGAGCTGTACGCAATGCCCCGCCACGCTGGTCTAGTGGCTAAGGTACTCGGCTGCTGACCCAGAGGTCGTGGGATCGAATTGAATGGAGGCGCAAATGCTGTAGGCCCGTGTGCTCTGATTTGGGTGCACGTTAAAGAACCCAGGTGGTCAAAATTTTTCGGAGCCCTTCACTATGGCGTCTCTCATAATCATATGGTGGTTTTGGGACGTTAAACCCCACATATCAATCAATTAATCACCAATCGTAAGATGTATGCAATGGATGAGTTTTATCAACTCTCTCTGCCTTTCATTTTTGGCAATAATTTCTGCAACCAGAATGGGCTTTGCACAAAATTTTTCCCCCTTGCATGCATGATATGTCCTCAACTACGTGTTGTTTCTCTCACAAGATGATGTCCATTATTGTATCCTGCTTGTAGTGGGTAGCTGAAGACCAAGTATGAAAACCCCTTCATAAAACAGATTTGCACTGCCATAATAACGCTTGCTCTTTCTTTCATGGACAACTGATGCAAAGTCTGCGGTTATGATTTATGTGGAGAAGTTTGCCAGAAAGTTTTTGAATGTGCTAAATGGAAGAAGGAAAAAAAAGAAGTGTCTTGCGAATTGGGGTTTTCACATTCAGCGATTTTTCAGAACAAAATACGAAGTACAGTGCTTACGCATATAAGAACAGTTCATAGTGTCTATGCAGGTATGAAATATATAAGCCCGAAATTGGCAAACTGAGGGATTGTTTTTTCTGTAGAGCATTTTTAAATGTCATGGTATACACAGAAAAAATTTATCATTAATACTAGTTACCTCATTTTTAAAGGTAATCACAAAAGTAGTGATATTATGCACACCTCTGTGTTTATTGAGCTGTTGGCATTTTTTGTTGTTGGACTAGGAGAATCTTGAGTTGTGAATGATGTGTGTTGCTATAGCCAAATACTTCAGGAAAAGTACTTGCTGAAGCCTTGGCTCAGTTGCCTAGTTTGTTCATTACGACTGGCCAGGATAGAAATTATTCAGATTATTTTTTTGGTGGGGGAGCTAATTTTTACATCAGTAATTATGGTAGGTAAATGTAACTTCTAACTAGTGGCTTTGTGGTAGATTTAGCCAGAAGAATTGTAAATTTTTCTCATGGCACACCAGTTTTAATTGGTTTATTTTTCCGACACATTGTGAACTGCTTAAACACGTCTTGTTCTCCGGCATCACCAGTCATTCTGCTGGTGCTATAACTATAGCAGCATGTCCATTTTCAGCCACAGTACTATGTTGCCTTTCTGATAATTTTCATCCTTCCTTGACATGTAATATGCACAGTTGTAGTGGGAAATAATACAGCGGTGTGTTTTTCAGTTCAAAGTGTGTTTCTGCTGCTCGGACATGGGTCATGATGGTGCACGATGTCCCAACGAAGTGCTCTCGTTGCTATGAACACTGTCACACAGCGGTCCGAGTGAAAAGAGACTGATGTGCTTTCATGCACCACCTGTTAGACCAAGGGCCACCCAGCAATGTAAGTACATGGTCATGTTCTCTTTCCTGCATGATGCATGTCAGTACTAACTCATTGATGCACGTTGTTGTGGCGATTGCGTGCACGTGTTGTTTTGGCCCCTCTTTCCCTCTCATATTTCTAGTGCGCATACCATAAATTGCCTTAGCATAATTGTGTGCCTGAAATCTAGCGATTAGTGTCTTGTAAAGCTGGAACATTATGCGAGGCATATAAGGCATCTGGCAAGTGTAGCTGCTTTAGCTCATCGCTGCAGTGAGAATGAGACTTGCGCTATCCAATCAGCACCAAGATGCATGCATCCATGGGTTGTAACTTGACTTCTGAAGACATAACCACATTGGTGATTATGGGGATGGGGCCTGTCAACGCAGTACTATCGTCGGGGAAGCGGTCGTGACGCAGGTCGTCAGTTCGAATTTCCTTTTTCAAACGTATTACTCCCCCCCCCCCCTTTTTTTCCCAAGGTAATGCTGCAAGAAAATTATGTCGCTGTCTGCGACAGTTGTTAGCCAGCCCTACCATGTAGATTTCGTGGTGCAGTGACGTTGGTGTCCGACGTCGCTCCGAATCGGGCTCTTTTTTATCTTCTCTTTCAGTATTGTTTCAAGTATTGCTACTTGTTTTTAAAAGATAATCGTCTTAATCTATTGGGAATATAACTATCAACTTTATTTTATGTCCAACGTATAATAAACACCTTTCCCGGTGATTTCCATTGGTACTATGCAGGGCGAGCAGAGAGGATATTATCAATTGAACAACAACCCTGGCGAGGTTTTCGTTCCTTAGCATTGATACCGTAGCTCCAACCAATAATTTGTTTTCCATAATGTGATGTTCGTAAATCAATTCGTTCCGCATATTTTTCGTGTTGCTGTATAAAGGCAATGTATGGGCTGATGCAAAAGATAGTGCAGCTCAACGTAAAATGTGTTCCAACCCTGAGGGCTGTGTAGTTGCACAGTATGTTTTAATGAGTCCCAAATCACAATACATATGACTACAATACATGTAGCTCCGACATTGGGCCTACTTCGCTGAAATTGCACACACAGAGTCAATCATGTGATCGAATCGGTCCTTATAACAAGGAGATTTGGACATCACTTTAGTCCCTTGAATGTGTGCTCTTGCTATGCAAACGCAGATAGACATTCGAGCTCTAAACCGGTGCAGTATATACTTGCACGGTGGTGAGCTCTCTGTAGCTGTCTTCCAATCCGAGAGCCCGCTTGTCCTATGAGAGCTAAACGTGTTCCATATCGATCTCGGTGATTATAATGAGAGCTTTGCCGAAGTCATGGGCGTGACCCGATCGTCTGAATGCTTTAATTTGCAAATGCTGGCAAGTACGGTTGCAGGCTTGGGTAAACCACAAGGTGTGATCAAGTCAACGAAATGAATACCTAAGGAAGGAACGATCATATAGCTGCGTCGATGTATCCTACGATAAGGCAAGGTAGTTGTAGGGAGCTCAAACGCAGTCACCTCGTGCAGCAGTGAAGAAAAAAAAACAAATAAAAACATCTTCAATCACTTCTGTAAGAGCACAAACAACAGCACTATGTGGAGGCCCACCCACTATAGGCAGCATTGTTAAAGCGGGCCACCTCATCATTACATCATTATGGCACTGTATAATTGCCTCGATGTGGTAGTGTCTGTGTCTGCGTTTTTATTGGTGGCAGTGAAAACTCTCCACACTTGCATTACTATAGTAGGTTTCGCGGTGGGGGCGAGCTCGAATCACGGCTCTGCGGCAGCTGCCGCTCAGCGAGCCGGGTCCGTCAGTGAGAACCTCGACTCAGCTGATTGTCCAAGTTCTCGCTCGCCAGCGGCTCCTCCCATCACTCCACTGTAGAATGCTGCTTTTAAAATAGGGAACATTACTCGAAACAATATTGAAAATATTGAAAGCAGAAAAGAAAGAGAAAATTTTAGTTGGTCAGCGCAACTCGAACTAAAGTCCCACACCATTAACGCATCATGTCGCACACCAACAACTGCCCCCCAAAAAATTTACTTGGTAGGGCTAAAACCGGCACAAAGAGCGATGTGATTTTTTTTGCAAAAAGCAAAATTATGACTCCTTGAAATTAGTAATGTAAATAGTGATGCATTACTTTAAAAATAAAAAAATTTAAAAATGGGCTTCGAACTGATGACCTGCAGCACGACCGCTTCCCCAACTGCGCGTCGCCTCACTGTGCCTCCAAACAGCTAGGCAGTCGCATCTGAAACAACTACAAATTTATCGCTATGGGCCCTCCTCATTTTTACCATTACGTAGACTACCCTAACTGTAGTCATTGCATTACGGTGACAGAGCCGTCACTTAGCTGGATCGCTTAAGTACAAGTAAAGGAGATTGCAAAAGGAAAACACTTTTATCTCTCAAGCAAACAAACAAAATACTTTTCAACAGTCACGAGTCGACATTTTCTGAGAAGCTAACAGCTGTTTTCATCAACTTTCAGTCGAAACTCGCGGTGGTCGCGCCGGGAAGATTTTTCTCATCAAGCGGTTAATCTATTTGCTACCGACCCCGTCGATGTTTCTCGAAGCAGACTTCCCGGCATCTGTTCCTGTCAATTTGCGAAACCACCGACCTTTGTGTTCCGCACTCCATGCCTTATTCCCAAGGGTCATACTAGGGGGAAGTTTAGTTTCGGGCCCATTAGTACATTGCAAGCTCTCGAACGTGGTGCGCCCCTCTAATGAGCCGGGCGGCTCGTTATAAAGTGTACTTCTTCCCCAGATGCCTAGATACAGAGAATGCTGCAGATGGCACTGTCCAATCACGTGTCGCACACAACCTTCGAGGGTTACGTCCATACACGTTCAAAACACGTTCAATATACAGGCGTGGTCACTGCACTCGCTGGATTTCGTGCCGACCAGTCATGCCCTCGCGATCTCCGACGACAGTGCAGCTCTGGCTGACTGGGCTCACCCTACGCCATTTTCTGACACGACAAGAGCTCTCGCCGAGTGTTTAGTTACATGAGTCTCCCGAGCCAAAGGAGCTTGACACTCATTGACAAAAGCAGACATTGATAATGGAAGAGGGAGGGCACCACTAAGAGGTGCTAGCTTCAGAACCAGCCAGACAATTACCCCCCTGAAGAGAGACCGAATCAGTCTCAAAACATAGCGCAGTTTTTTTATAATTTTAAAACTAAAAACCAGTTTGGCTGGAGAGTCTTTTCTATTCTTATAGATACAAGATGCCAGCAAAATAAATTATCCAATCAAATATTTGGATTCATATATTAAGATACTTCAATGATTAGGGAATTCCTCAATGCAGTTTCATTGGCTAACAATTGTACAGAAAGAAAACAAGACACAAGAAGGCAGTAAAAATACACACATTGCTACTGTGCATATTTTTGCTGCTGGTCTTATTTGTGATACCATTGTTATCGAGATATGCTTAACCAACAAGCCTGCCCTGCGACATTAATGGGTTTCGTTGAATTTTCGTGCTTGTGAGGCTTATTCAAGTTTGCAGTCGCTGTTGCTAGCAAACTTCTCTGACATTCATACTTTTTTTTGTACTACACACAGAATAGAAAAGAGAGAAGATGTTAACCCAGTCCCTTCTAGCATTCATCTCCACCCTGTACATCACCACTCTACAATGGGAACAATCAACATCTAGCCTAATTATCACTCTCTCATAAGTCATCACCATCATCATCAGCGTGACTACGTCCACTGCAGGACAAAGGCCTCTCCCATTTTCCGCTAGTTAACTCGGTCCTGCGCTTGCTGCTGCCAATTTATACTTGCAAATTTATTAATCTCATCTGCCACCTAACCTTCTGTCTCCCCTTAACCAGCTTGCCTTCTCTGGGAATCCAGTTAGTTACCCTTAAGACCAGCGGTTATCCTGTCTACGCGCTACATGCCCGGCCATGTCCATTTCCTCTTCGTGATTTCAACTATGATATCCTTAACCCCCGTTCGTTCCCTAATCCACTCTGCTCTCTTCTTGTCCTCTTAAGGTTACACCTACCATTTTCTTTCCGGTGCTCGCATGCGTCGGTCCTCAATTTAGGCTGAACCTTCTTTGTAAGTCCCAGGTTTCTGCTCCGTAGCATAAGTACCGGTCAGATACAGCTGTTATCTACCTTCTCTTGAGGGATAGTAGGCAATCTACACTGTCATATTTGAGAGTGCCTTGCCAAATGTGCTCCACCCCTCTCTTATTCTCTAGTTACTCCGTCCTCGGGGTTCGGCTCTGCTGTTATTACCTGCCCTAAGAAACATGATCTTTTACAACTTGAAGTGCACGTATTACCTATCTCAAAGCGCTGCTCCTTTCCGGAGGTTGGTTGTAACATTACTTTCGTTTTTCTGCAGATTAATTTTAAAGACCCACCTTTCAGCCTCATCCTTGTCTAACTCCGTATCATGATGTGCTATTCGTCCCCTGAGTTACTCAGAAATGCAATGTCATCGCGAAGCGCAGGTTACTAAGGTACTCTGCACTTACTTTTATCCCGACTGGTTCCCATTCTAGGCTTCTGAAAATCTCCTGTAAGCACGCAGTAAATAGCATTGGAGAGATTGTGTCCCCCTGCCTGACACCCTTCTTGATTGGTATTCTGTTGCTTTCTTTATGAAGCACTATGGTAGCAGATGATCCCCTGTAGATTTCTTCCAGGATGTTTATATATACTTCATCGACGCCCTGATTCCGCAGTGTCTGCAGACGGCTGATATTTCTACTGAATCAAATGCCTTATCGTAAGCTATGAAGGCTATGTATAGTGATTGGTTATATTCTGAGCATTTCTCTATCACCTGATTGATAGTATTGAATGTGACCGATGGTTGAGTAGCCTGTTAGAAATCTGCTTGTTCCTTTGGTAATTGAATTCTAA